GTTGGGTGGAGTTAACCAGTGAAGTGGTCCTGCAACTGAGGAGTGAAATCACTTAGGCACAGTGGTTAAAAGAACAGATTTTGGCTGTGAATCTGGGTTCATATCCTGGCTCTGGTCTTTACTAGCTATGGCAAGTTACTACATTTCTTTATGCTTCAGTTTCTTGCTTTGTTAAAAGGGGTCACGTGACACGCTCTGCCTGGCAACCTGTTTGCTGGAGTCGCCTTGGGCTTTCTGTGTTCTCAGAGCTGGAACAGCTTGTTTATGTGGCTCGCCTTGGGCACTCTGCCTGTGTGATTGATCTGTAGCTTCAGGCACTCCCCACAATCCCTTGTCCAAGTCTCACTGGACACACGGCAACTTGACCAGGGAGGACACAGTGCTGGTCCAGTCTAATGAGAAGATGACCAGGATCAGTCAGATTCTTTCTTTTCAAAAATTTGATCAGAGAAATATAGAAATAAGCAACCATTTGGAAACATGCGCTAGAATGGAAAGGTCCAGTAGGCCTGGAGCCCTTTTGGCCACTGAGAGCCTTGTGTGAACTGAATGAATCCACAGAGAGAAGAGAAGGAAAAATAAGGCATCAAATGTACCATCAACAACCTGAACAACGAGGCTTGACTTTTGAGGGAGAGGCCTACCTCACTCTACTGTTAATGCTTTCAGGTCTGGTCCCCAGAAGGCCCAGCAATCCTCAGTTGTCTGGGAGAGACCACTGTGTATTCTTCCAAGAGAACAAAAAGCAAAAGATGCAGGAAGCAAAACTGTTTATGCAACTTAACTTAAATGGTTTTCTATTATTTGTAAAAGAACAACAATAGCAAAACTACCTTATTAAAATTGACAAAGGGCTTGAACAGACATTTCTTCAAAGAAGACATATAAGTAGCCAGCAAATGTGTGAAAAGACATTCAATGTCCCCAGTTATCAGGGAAACCCAGGTCAAAACCAGAATGAAATGTAACTTCATACCCCAGGCTGGGGATGTAGCTCCGCGGTAGACTGTTTGCCTAGTTTGTACGAGGTCCTGATTAGTTCCCAACACTGCAAAAACAAAAACACAGAATCACACCTGTTAGGATGGCTATTATTTATAAGGGAAGAGGTGAAATTAGGGAGAAATTGGAAGTCTGCTGATGGGAATGTAAAATGGTACGGTAACTTTGGAAAACATTATGAAGAATCCTCAACAAATTAAAAATAGAAATGGAATAAGATCCAGCAATCCCACTTCTGAGAAAATATCCAAAAGAATTGAAATGAGGATTGTGAAGAACTTTGTGCACTCCCATGTAATCACACTATCACAATAGCCAAGATGTGTTGTCAACGTGGTATGGATGGATAAACAAAACGCGGTATATTCTCACAGTGTGATCGTATCCCACTTTGACGAAAGTTCTGATGTGCTACAGCATGAATAAAACTTGATGAGATGGTAAGTGAAATAAACCAATCCAAAAAAAGGACAAATACTTATGATCCCACTTATACGAGTACCTAGAATAGTCAAATTACTAGAGAGAAAGTAGAAAGGTATCAGGGTTAGGAAATGAGGAACTGTTTAATAGACATAAAATTCTGGTTTTCAAGAAGAAAACAGTTTTGGAGATTATTGCATAACAATATGAATTTAATACTGGTGAACTGTACAATTTTTTAAAAGCACATAATAGATTGTAGCTTTTATATATTTTATTACAATTTTAAACCAACATGCAAATAAAACCAACCAGCCAACAAAACAAACAGAAAACAAAACAAAACAAACAACTCCAAAAATTTTGTCTTGCTGAGAACACAGTAATTCTATGTCGAGAGTGACAGAGAGCTGTAGAGAGGATACCGTTGGGTGAGGGAAACACGATTTAAGTCGCCAACATGTCCTGGTCCAGGGTTCTTTAGCCCAGCAGTGGACATGTCCAGACATCAGCTGGGACACAGGTCAGAGTCAGGGCTAGCAAGACAGAGGAGCAGCCATCTACCTCGGGATGGATTATGCAGAGAGCGGGAGGTTAAGACAGAGGAAGTCGGAAGATGTGTGCCACGATTCTACGGAAGGGCAAGGTGAGTGTGAGTGCCTGACCAGGAAAGGAAAGCTAGAGGTAGACAGGTGGTAGAGACGGCCGTGAGTTCAGCAATCAGCTTGTTAAGCTCAGGACTGCAGAGCACTCACTGGACAGCCTGTTTGGAGCCGGACTGAAGCCGAGAACCCGGATTACCTCTAGTTCAGATTCCCTCCTGGGAACCCCCGCTCCATCATCCCCAGTGCCCACAAACATACCAGAGGCCCCCAGAGTGTTCTGGGAAAGAGAATTACTTAACTTTGTTTAACTTAAGCTCACTTGACTGCCTTACCCTTTTGTTGTTTCATGGAACATTTATTCATTTACTGCAAATTATACTTTGGGGAATTATTTCTGATCTCTGTAGATATTTCTTTGTTCACAAAGTAAAGCAAAGAAACTGGTTAGATGTTTGATAGATCTGCAGATATTCGGTATATCCCTATTATCACCAAAACAGATGGTGGAAGCTTCCAGAATCCCAGGCCTGACCGGGGAACTGAGGACACTCACCCCTCTGCGTGGGCAGTGGGAGCACAGGCTGCTGGGGGTTTTGATCAAAGACAGCTTGCTCTCTTGGCTTTCTACCTACACGGCATGTGCCAGTAAAGCCTTGGCCCAGTTCCTCCCCTCGTTCTTTTTTATTCTCTACATTGGCTTCTTGTCATTGCTTTTCCATTTGCATAACTAATGCACACAACACAGAGTTCCTGCAATTTTACAGACAGCTGGCCAGCACTTCTTGGATGCTGATGTCAGGAAACATCTGGAAGAGAGCTAAAGTTACTGCAGGCTCCACTGAGAACAATGGAAGCACATTAATATGGAAAATTCAGCATGGGGGTGCATAAAATGGCTGCTAGGCCAGCTTGCAAAAGCCTTGTGCAAAACCCTATTGTATTTTGAACGTTAATATTTCTGAGAGAATGAGCAGAGATCCAGCTAAAACTGAAACGTGGTTACTTTCTTTTGGACCCCATAACTAAGCATTAAGCTTTTTTTTTTAATATTTGTTTGTGGTGAGGATTGAATTTATAGCCAATGTATGTCATGCAAGTGTTCTACTACTGCGGTTTATCTTCTGCTATTTTATTTTATTTTATTTTATTTTATTTTATTTTTGGTACCAGGGATTGAACTCATGGCCTAGCACTTGCCAGGTAAACACTTATGCGCTGAGCTAATTCCCTGGCCCTTTATTTTGTGATGAGATCTCAAGTTCCCCAGACTGGCCTCAAACTTGCAATTCTCCTGCCTCTGCCTCCCAAGTGGCTAAAATACAGGTATCCACAACCATGTCCAACAGTATTTTCCTTCCTGAAAAGTTTCCTAGAATTCTTTCCAGCTTGCTAAGAGTCTCATTTCAAAAAAACAAAAAAATCATGAACTGGCATTTTATTTTCTGATAACATTAAGCTGATCTTCCTCCTTCCTCCGTGTTCTCTTTCTCAACATATTGAGGTCTCATACACCTGTTTCTCCTGTCATTAAGAAGTCAGTGAGCTGGGTCCATGCTTGTAATCCTGGCCCTTGGAAGGCTAAGGGGTTGCTACAAGTTTGAGGCCAGCCTGAACCACATAGTGAATTCAGGCCAATCTGAACTACATAGCAAGACCCTGTCTCAGATAAAACAAAACAAAAACAGGAAGTCAGTGAGAGAGGATATATTGATATATATTAAATATTGTGAGAGCAATATTTAAATGTAATTTGGGGGTAGGGATTCTGAGGAATAAACCTAGACCTTTGCACAGAGGTATAGTCTTAATTTTTTTTGTTTGTTTTTTGTGGACAAGGTTGCTAAATTGCTAAGTTACTCAGGCTAGATTCAGACTTCTGATCCTCCTTCCTCTGCTTCTCAAAGTTTAGAGATTATAGATATGCACCATCATGCCCAGCAATAATGGTGTCTTTAAAAAATGATACTTATATTTACCTAAACCTGGTAGCACATGCCTATAATCCCAACCTCCCGGGAAACTGAGACAAAAGGGTCATAAAATTGAGCTCAGCCTGGGCGATTTAGTAACTTAAGAAGACCCTGTCCAAAATCAAAAGTGTAATAGATATAGCTCAGTGTAAGGGCCTAGGGTCGTTTCCCAGTGTCCAAAACAAACAAGCAAACAATCCATACAGCATAATAGCTAAAACAATGCACCTAGCACCTCCTCTTATCATGTGTAACCCTGGTAAATTATTTACTATAACTTAAAAAGTGAAATTGTGGTCATCATTTTTGTCTATTTGGATCATCGTGAGAAATGCACAAGCTAATTTGTGTTGGAAACGCTTAGTGGGATGCCTGACACACATTAGCTATCATTAGTGTGGTTTTGTTGATACCCATGGATTAAGAAGGAATCCCTGCTATAATTGATTTCTCAATCCAGCTCTCAAACATTGAGTATTTGCTTTCAGTCCCTGTCCTATAGAGCTATATCTGCATTTATAATTTCCCCTAAGCATTCCCCTAGAGCTTTGCTTACCATTTCATTTTACATGGTAGAGACTGAAAACTGTATCTTGTATCTCAGGTATGGATCCATATTAGCATCGATGCTGTCTTCCAACATTTGGATTCCTTGTCTTGACCCCTGCTATTACCACAGTCCAGGTTCAGTGCCTGCTTTATCCTTTTGAAGATTTGTTAGATTTTCTCCTGTCTCCAGGGTTCTGAAATCACATATTGCTGTGCTTTGGTGTTGATCTGTTTCCATCTATTGTATGTATGAGTATTTTGGGTGCCTTACCAGTCTGGTAGCTCATATGCACTAGTTTGAGAAATCATGTTGAATTATCAATTTGTCATGAGACTTTTCCCATGATTTTGTTTTATTTCTACTCTTCCTGAATCCCTGTTTGTTACACCATCTGACCTTCTGGACAGAGCCTCTGTCTTTCCTGTTGTCCTTTTCATTGTCATTTGGCGTGTGCTTACTTCGGCAGCACATATATTAAAATGGGGATGATATGGAGATTAGTATGGCCCCTGCACAATGATGACATGCAAATTCGTGAAGCATTGTCATTTGGCTTTCATTTCCTAGAGTTCCTCAAGTTTGTATCTAAACCATCTGTTACATTTGCTTTTCTTTTGAGCTCCAATTAATTGTGATAGGAGATTCATGTCAAGCCAACATGAAGTCACCAGTCAGTAATAATAACAAGGCTTATGTGTTGTATGTATTGTATATGCACCACTTAAAGATGCCTAAACATTAATCAGTCCAGACAATGTCACAAATTTCCTCAGTGACATCCCATTAAAGGTTAATGAGTTAGGTAAGAGTATCTTATGTATTAGATAGAGATGACTGAGTGATTTTTTTTTTTTATGAGATGACTGAGTGATTAAAAGAGCTATATTAGCCGGGTGTGGTGGCACACTCCTGTAATCCCAGCACACAGGAGGCTGAGGCAGGGGGATTGTTGCAAATTGAAGACCAGCCCGGGCTACAAAGTGAGTCCAAGGTCAGCCTGAAATGCATTGTGAAACCCTGCCTCAAAAAAAAAGACAGAGTCTACGACGGCCATACCACCCTGAACGCACCCTATCTCCTCTGATCTCGGAAGCTAAGCAGGGTCGGGCATGGTTAATATTTGGATGGGAGACTGCCTGGGAATACCAGGTGCTGTAGGCTTTAAAAAAAAAAAAAAGACAGAAAAAAAAGAACTATACTATGTCAAAATGGAAATTTAAGCATGTCACAAAAATGTCATCATGATTGTCATGCTACAATATTATGTATAGTTTTGTATGCTACAATATTTATATGGTTATGTATGGTTCTGAGTAAAATTATATAACTATTGCCTGTTAGCATTCCACAGAGATTTTAGAGCACCCATAGTTGTTAGCAAATAATGGTTCTATTTTATGTTCAAAGGTGCTTGATATTCAGATAAAATAGTAACATTAAGCTAACTGTTCTCACTGCAAAATGTTATGTTATTAACCTTCTCTCCTGATGTTCAACAACTGAGGTATGGAGACAAAAATCTAGAAAGATAGATGGGCTAAGAGGACAGCCAATATTTTGGCCCCAGCCCTCAGCAGTCAATGAGGACCCAGAACATGAGGGAACATTTTCAGGAACATCCTGCAACTCTGGTAGTTCTACAAACTCCTGATCAAGGAGATTGTAGGGTCACAGAGGATAAATGTGTGTGGTGTATAGTGTGCCTAAGGAGAGTGAACAGGAGAGAAAAATTTGCCAAGCTTTCACAGAAAGCAACTTGGTCAAGCAATGGCTATGACTTATCCAGATGGCTGACACTGACAGAAGAACTAAGAGGTGCTGTGCATGGTTCCCAGGTAATTCCCAAGGAGTCTTAATGGATCTGGATAGATGACAAGAGATTGATTATAATTAATACAGATCTCACTTTAACTTGGTCTTGAACATCTTGCAAAAAAGTGTAATACAAGCGTTATAAAACAATGCCACCGTAAATAGTAGCTAAAAGAAACTTAAATCACTAAAAGCTTCTAACAATTGCCAGCTACACTAGTACCTGACTACTATTATGAGTTAATAGACTGTACAAGGTTAAATTACTAAGTGCAGGAATTTAAAATCCTTGGATTGGAAATCTTTAGCCTAAACAAGTAAGTTCACTCAAATAAAAAGGGTTCAAGAATAAAAAGATCATCTAGAGAGTTCTCCAAACACAGCTTCTCTAGCCCCAACCAACTACCCATTGTTTACAACTATAAAACAGAAAAGAGGGAGATGTGGGGAGTAGATGAAGCTGAAGATCAATCCTGAGTGAGGCCAGACCAAGACTGATCTCAGGAACTCTGGGTGCCTGAGCCAAGCCACATGGGTAAGCTCTCAGGCTGAGAGGGTTCACATGAAACTCAGACCCCCAAGTGTATAAATAAATGCACTGCAGCCGTTGGAGCTTGCCTGCTCTTTCCTCTCACTCCTTCTCCCTCTCCCCCTGCTTCTTTGAACTTCCCATCAGAAGGGAGGGCTCTACCTGGCCTCAGTTTTCTGTAAAAAATAAAAAATAAGCTGTTAAGTTTTTAAATTGTATTTTAAATTTCTAACAGTTCTTTTTTGTTCTCTAGTGTTTATTTTTAATATTTCTGTTTCCCCACATATTTTCTCTTTTTATTTAAAAAGAATTAAACCAAGCAAAATAAAACAGAGCAAAGCCAATCAAAACAAACCAGTGTAAGTGACATGGGCTTCAAAACAATAGGAAATCAACAATTATGATTACCATAATGCCTCTTGTTGTCTTCAAAATAGCTCAGATACCTTCAGACATAGTAAAAATCAAACAAAGCAGAACAGACTAGAACCAATAAAAACAAAACAATGAATGCAATAAAGGACTTCAAAACAAAACAATAGCAAATCCAAAATGGCTGCCATAATATATCTTGTTATCTTTGAAATAGCTGTGCATGCCATCAGAAATAATAAAAATCAGAATAAAACCTAACTCAACAAAACAATGAAAATGATACAGGACTTCAAAACAAGATGATAGAGAATTAACATTGGCTACCACCTTCAGAAGGAGATCCCCCACAGATGACATACTGTGGACCGTTTTCCTATGATCAAACCACTGGCCCTAAACCTGCAAAGTCAGTGAAACACCAAACACCACAAGCATCAGATTGCATTTCACCTCAATAGCCTGTGTTTCTCGAGATCAGCGGATCACTTACAGAGTGGGGGATGTTGGCTCTTCTTGTTTCCCAGCCCTGGCACTGAAAAGATCTGGGGTTTGGATGTCCCCCAGGTGGTGGCAGCCTGCGCATGGCGCTGATTCGCAGGGAGGGCTTGCTTCTTGGTGACTTCTTGTTCTCTTCCTCCACAGCCTGCAAACGGTCTCCCCACACATTCTCAAGTCTCTGTTTCCTCTCTAGTTGTTTGCTTGTTTGTGTGTTTTGTCTCTAGGTTCCTTGGTAGAGGTTTTCCCCAGATGTCTAATGATCCTGGTCCTTGACTGGTATTTTAGAGCTGACGGACAGCCCTGTGCCATAGATAATGAAGTGTGTTGCTTTCACTATTTAGGGTGATCTGCCAGGCCCATTGCTGTGGGTGGTGGCGGGGGGCATTGGCTTTAGGTCACTTTTCTTGGTGTTTTATTTTGTTTTATAATTTCCCAAATTTTCCAGGAGAGAAATGTCGATTCTCCTTCCTACAGCGATGAGTTAGCTCTGGCTGCCAGGATTCTGGAAATTGAATATAAATTGAGGAGTATTGTTGGGGGTATACACCCGTAATTCCTGCACTCAGGAGGCTGAGGCAGGGGAATTGCTGGGAGTTTAAGCCCAGCCTGGGCTACAAAGTGAGTTCTATGTCAGTCTGAACTGCATAACAAAACCCTGTCTCAAAAAGACAAAATAAACAAACTGAGATTCTCAACACTCTATTATATAAATCTTTATTGCCAAATGTGGTGGCACATGCCTATAAACCCAGCACCTTGGAGGCTAAAGCAGGAGGATTGTTGTGAGTTCAAGACCACCCTGTGCTACAAAATGAGCTGAAGGCCAGTCTGAACTCTATAATGAGAACCTGTCTCAAAAAGAAAAAACAAATAAACCTTTATTATTTGGCACTGCCTCTTTCAGTACAGACTTGCCAGTTTATTCATATCCTATTCTGGATTACAGATTTTTATTGTCTTCTAGAGAATAAAACCTTAAGCCTTTTTGTTTAGAGAGGCAGTTAGGAGCTGGGAGTGGTGGCTGTAATCCCAGTACTCCAGAGGCTGAGGCAGGAAGATCATTGAGAGTTTGAGACCAATCTGGGCTACAAAGTGAGCTCAAGGCCAACCTGAACTACATAGTAAGACCCTGTCTCAAAAAGACCAAAAAAAGAAAATAAAAGAAGCAGTTGTAAAGTGCATTAAGGAGAGGGCTTTTCACATGGTCCTCCTGGATGTTGGATTGCTTCTTGGCTTCCACATTTGCTGATTTACAATTTATCTTTGTTTGTTAATTTGAGGGCACTGACTCCTAAAATTTTGTTTCTATCATTATTTCTTCATCCTTTTTAATATTTAAAAATCATATTTTAATTTTGTTTTGTTCTGAGACTGGATCTTGCCATGCAGGTCAGACTGGTCTTGAAATCACTACGTAGCCCAGGGTGGTCTTGAATTTGCAACAATTCTCCTGCCTCAGCCTCCGGAGTGCTGGGGTCACAGGTTTGCACCACCACGCCCAATTTAATGAGTATTTGTAAAAAGATATTCCTAATTTAATGATTTCTTTGGAAACGTTGCATTTTATTTGCCAGAAAGCAAACCAAAGTACTCTGATGGGATCCACTAGCATATCCTAGCATGGTTTTGTAACAGTATTCGTTAAGTTCTCACTGGTTTTAATATTCTGGCCATCATAGCTGCTGCGTGGTCACTGTTTCTATTTGTTGGCAGAACCCTCTTGGGCTGCTCAGCACCTTTCATGTGGTTGTGAATGTAAACAACATGTGTGCCCCACATGGGCTCTGAAATCCGGCTCGGCTGATCCAGTCCTCCACACACCACAGTTCTGCATCTCACATCCCCGTAGCACAGCTTGTGGTCTGGCTGCGCCCAAGAGAACGCTGGGCCACTAAAATTGCTGTCACAGGAGGCGCTGTATGCAGTGTGCACTTCACGCCGCACTTTCTTTCTGAGGAGTCGGATGTGAGTGGACTGGGATTTACGGTGGGTTGAAGGTGCTGGGGAAATAACAAGACTGGTGAGGATTTAGGTCCACAGTGCACGTTATCACCTTGTCTTTTTTAAAATTTATTTGTTGATTTGCTTGTTGGTGTTTTAGAGACAGGGTCTCACTGTGCAGTCCAGGCTGAACTTGCAGTTATCTGAGTGCCTCAGCCTCCCAAGCATTGGGGTTGCAGAACCCCTCACACATTACTCTAATTTTATGCGCTGAAGCAAAAATTCTCACAGCTGATAATATCCTTGCAGAGCTACTTGCAAAGCGGGCAACCCTGGCTATGTAAATAGCCTGAACGAGGAGGACACATAGCCAGTATCACAGCCTAACCTAGCAGGCAG